TTGGATGTGGTTATGGGTGCCCCCCCTCAACCCCCACCCCCCCCCTTTTTTTTTCTTTACGTTATGCTCAGTCCGGATTATTAATATTACTACTAATAATAATAATAAATGAGTGTCTACTGCAAAATAATGTTTTTAGGCCAAGTCATTGTCGTAATTTTTTTTATAATTTTGATGAATTACTTTTTTAATTCTTACTGCATTTATTTTTAAATAATACAAATATTTATACATTTCTTTGGAATTTGATTGTTTTCCTGTGTTCTGAGTCAGTGTGCTATTCGAAGACTTTCTTATTACTTCCAACTTTACAACCAGTGTAGAGCTCTTTTACTTATAACAAAACAAATGTGTTCCGGATGTTAGTTATGATTTACACGTAGCTTCGGTCTCTTGGTTGTAAACGTATGTAAGTACGAGTACGAGGTACATCATTAAGCAACGTCAAAGTAAGACCAACATAATTTTATAATTATGTATTTATCGTAGGGTATGAGTATGCACCTTGAGAAAAATAGTTTCTTAATAGGCCCACTATTTTATTAAATTGAAATTCAATGAATTGATTGAATACCCGTCGACGGTCGATGATGAAGAATGAAGAGAACACACTTCTTATAAATTTCATTTCACACCGCCCTGTGCCTGTAGTCACTGTAGTTTTAGTGTAGACAATTCTGTGTAGTATTGAAGTAGTTATTAGTAGTAGAGCCCCCCCCCCCCGAAGCTATAGCCGACATGTCTGCCCCATTTGGCATGTGCCATGACCCCCAGATGCTATTTGGGGTCTACATTAGACATTAGAAAGAGCACCCCTGCATGGTACTTACCAAGTGCAGTTGAAAATAGTGCCAGAACTTAATTCTTCAGTTTAACTAAATAAACTATCACAGTTTATGGAATAAAAGATACCATTTGCGCAACTATTCATGGAAGCATTCTGTCTACCATCCGTCCATCGATCCATCCCTCCCTCTACATATCTATCTATCGATCAATCTATCTATCTTCTATATCATCTATCTGTCTGTCTTTCAGTCTGTCAGTCCGTTTGTCTGTCGGTTGGTCTGTTTGTCTATCATCTTCATATATCATCTATCTATTACAGTGGTTCTTAACCTGATCGATCGAACCCCAAGGGTTCGGTGAGCCAGCTCCAGGGTTTCGGCGGAGGTCCAAAAAAAAATCATATTTTATTTTTCCTATTATGAAGGGTTTGATGAATGCGCATATGAAACTGGTGGGATTCAGTACCTCCAAAAAGGTTAAGAACCACTGATCTATCATCTATCTACCTGTCTATCTATCATCTATCTATCTATCATCTAAGAAAGTCTTAACCCATTGCTATTTTGAAAATTAAATTTTCGCTTGTGTAAAATAAATGGGTTTTGATATTCATGGGTATAATTGTGTAAATGTACTTATGTTTTGTTAACATCATTGATTTTCTTAATTGGCAAAATAAGAATAAATCATTTATTTTTTACAACTGTAACATCATTGGATTTAAAGAAATTGCCATCCACGTAAAATTGTAAACACCCTGTTTTATAACCCTTGTATAAATGTACCTAAGAAGGTTAGTTATGTGTCAAATTCATTCTAAGGCGTATGGTGTGCTGCCTTGGGCAAATGAAACTATCTTATTTACCCCCCCCCCCTTAAAACAAAGTTTTAAGGTAATTTATAACATCATCAACATGATTTTAACCCCCTTACCTATGCAAAAGCAATTTTTTACATTTCTCATGCTTTGTTCTTATTTGGATGAGTGATAAGTGCATTAGTTAATGCTATTTGGATGTGTAGTTTCGCTGCACTGATTGCATTAAACGGCATTTGTGCATTAAAAGTATATTTAAAAGGTACTTTTTCACTACTATATAAATTTCATAAAAGTATATTTTTTGAAAGAATAAAAGTAAAAACTTATTTAATGTTAAAAATACAAAGCTAAAGTTGTATTTAATTTTAGCAAATTTTAGAAATTTCAAAAGCGATCTATTAAATGCATTAATTTTACTTTTAAGAAGGGGAAAATACATTATCAGTTTTGTCACCCAAGGTAATAAAATAAAAAATATAAAACAGGCAATCATGCTATGATGTCATTTGCTTAATTATTTAGATCAAATTAATTTTATTTTTATTTTGTAATATTAACAACGCACTAAAATACGCACTAAGAATAACAGAAGTTTGGGTTTACCCGATAAATGTGATTAAGATGCAATTCTTAGATCATAATATTTTGATTAATAATTGTTTTCATGACTTTTACATTTGGATAAAATGCTTAAAATAATTCCTTAGTTGTTACTTTAAATACATTTGTAATTTAAAATATTTACAATTTTTGCTAAAATAAAAGTGGAAATTTAATATTTTGCGCATGTAAATTTATTCGATTTCCGTAAAATAATAGAAAATAAATATGATTGTTTTTGAGAATCCGAACGTATCAAAATATATTCGGGTTTTTAACGTTATGTCAGTACAGCTCATTCTCATATATATATTTTAAAAATAATTTTAAGCTTTTTATTCTTACTGCAGTAGTGTGTAACGGTTGCACATAAACATGTGGTTGACGTGAGGTGAGCCGATTATAGTATTAGGGAGACACTGACATTACGTTAAGGTCGTTTAGGCTAAGGGTTCAGGCTAGGCATAGAGATAAATTTTTAGGAAACAGTATATACTAAATTTGAAAACCTTTTAATTTTCAAGTTTTTTAAATTTCAAATTTATTAAATTTTTATCAAAAGTTCTTTAATATCATCATTTTTATGCATGGTGAGATTCATAACATATCATTTTTTAAAATGTTTTTGTTAATAAATAAACCCATGCTTATCACTTTTTAATTATTTCTATTTGAAGTATTTGTCTTGGTAAGTAGCTAAATAGTGCTGCTCCCCCCTTGTGCCATAATTTAAAATTTAGTCGAGCAACAAGACCAAACATACCGGGTGCTAGCTTAAAGGTAGGGTAAGGACTAGCATATAATATTTGATTCTGAACTGTCTCCATGTGCCACAAAAAACACAGCTAAACAAGTTTAAGATTTTACCATGCCTACACAAAACTTGGAATTCGTCATTGTCATAAACAAATACATCTTGAGTTGGCTAAACGACTGTATTGCACTAGTACTTGCCAGGCTTTAAATGAAGAATTTTTAGATTTATCACACTAAATATAACCACCAAGCTCTAATATTGATTTTATTTTTAAAGAATCTAACTCTCAGACGGGCGGATTAATTATCTAGTAAAAATTAAATTGAATCAGTTAAATTGAACTGGTTGTAGCTGAGGCTAAACCATAAAGTTGGTAAGCTAGTATACTGTGCTGAGTCAAGTACATCCAAAGCAATGTATTTTATGAAAAAGGGCATAGGAAATCAGTTATTCTATTAAAAAGATGAGAAAGTAGACTCCACTGCATACTTTAAATATATTTATATTATAAAATTAATAGCACCGTAGGCCCTTGTACATTGTGATTTCATTTTGAACGTAACGTCTGAAAATGTTGTGTCAGTACCATATATTACTGCATATAATACCAGAAACTTGGAGTAAAAAAGTGCTATTTAAATAAATGGATACACTGGTCACTGGTACCGATAAGCAATTAAAATAAATAATACTGCATTGTTAAACTTCGCCACAAGAAAAATATATGAATGATACCCCATTGGGTGTGACAGATTTATTCTAACTCTAACAAAATTACTTCTTTCTTAAATGGAAAAATCACAACTTTTATATAAAAATATTTTAAATATCTGATTTTTATCAAATTTAGTGTTTTATATCAAGGAGTTGTAATTTTATAAAAAACTGGACTTCATTGGGGAATTTGATTGCAAGTTAGATGTCATTTATGTTAATTCATCTGTAAATGAAAAGTGGATTGAATTTAAATCAAGCAAATTCAATGTCCGTCTTGACAAAGTTATTGAGTTATCAGTTTTATAACCCTATGTTTTAATGATCTGGGGGGAAAACTAATGTTATGAAACAAGATCAACAGATTGTATAATAACATTGGCATAGCATTTTAGGGCTTTTTTCAAATAAAATGTTAAGAGTTCTCATAATATGTGGATTCTGTTATATGTTGTAAGAAACGGTAGACCTAGGTCTAAGTTGCTTAGATTAAACCTTAAATGGTAAACATTATTATTATTGGGCATATGTGTACATGTTCAATAGTTTTAAATTATGACTTATTTAGCATTTGGGTTGCTCTTCTGATTGTGTGTGTTACAAGTCACAAGGGAACAAAGATTATATAGATCCCTTTTGGCTTTATAGAGGGTCATTTCAGAGTCCCAAAGTGGGGAATGAAAATGAGAGAAGGTAATGCATGAATGGGGACCGATTTTCAAAGTACTATAAAAAGTATGACATATAATGTTTTTACCATTTTGAACAAAATTGCACCTCATTCTTCCCATCAATTTTTTTTCTCCCCAGTTCAAAAATGATCACTGACGTTCAATTAGCAATCTTCGCCAATGGTCTAGGTGTTCTTCTGTTCCTTCTAGTAGTTTTATATCACTATGTCTCAGTTAATAATGTGAAAAAAGTGGACTGAGACCTACACACATGTCATTCCTCATGTTTTGTAAGTACTATTGTTACTACCAATAATATTACTATTACCATAAACTACCATGTATAGTTTGTAAATTTAATAGACTTGCATTGATTTTACAGCTTGTGAAGCAAATGAAAGCTCTAATTTACAGAAGTTGTAAAATAAGCCCCCCTAAATTCATAGTTTCATTTTATAATCTGTTAAATAAAATGGGACTTTGTGGCAGGCTATCTTGTGTACTCAGCTTTGTTTACAGCAATTTAATAAAAAAGAAAATATGTACATTAATGCACAAATTCTGCTATAATTATTCTGTCTCTAATATCTCCAATAAAGCCAACTGTCACCTAAAAATCTGTGAAATCCTGATTTCTAATTATTTTTAAAAAATGCTGTACTATAAAAATTCACCATACGATTTTGTAATTATTTTCTTAGGTCTTAAGATATGTATTTGAATGGTAGGATAAAAATGACAATAATTGCAAAAATATTTGTAACAAAAAAAGATGGTTAACTTTATAAAATATTATGTTTTAATTTTAACATTACAATTACACTGATAATTTCTTTGACCTGAGTTTCAGACATCAGACAGAAAATTAAGACCCAACAATGATGAAAAGATAGATAATTAGGAAATTTTGAACATATAGACTCAGAAAATGTACCCAAGCTGAGCAAAATACAGCGTATGGTGAATATGGTGTAACTATAGTTAGTGATGCCAGGGTTGAGCCAACCCTTTGCTGCCCTTTTCCACATAACAAAACTCTGTAGTTGGCCAAAAATGAAGCCACTCAAATAAAGCAAAAAGTTTGGCCTAGGGCAAACCGCCGGGTCCTCACCCCCCTTCCTATGCCACTGATGGTGACCATGAAGTTCAGTCTTGTAAATAAATCACAAACTGATATCCAAATGTCATTATTATGATGGTTTGGATGTATTCTCCTAAATGTTGAGAGGGACTAGGAAACCAGAGAACGTTATATTGAATACCTTTTGTGTATGAGACAAAGTTTTGCAATAAATTGCTTTGTTTACATTTTGTTTGTACTTATTTAAATTAATTCACAGTTAAAATTTAAATTGTTCACATCCGTTTGTAATTTTTTTCTTGTTTGATTTAGCAGATTTATTTCTCTTTTTTTGCATTAATTAAAATCTGCTTTTTTTCATCAGGTCTCTCACCAACTGCCACAACTGTGACTGAAAAGATGTTGCCTGTAGTTAAATTAAAATAAATGTCAAGTTTGGGTCTTTCCCAGTATGTTTGATCATCTTAAAATTATGTGTAAATCTTGTAAGTGTGATGCTGAACTGTTGTGTACTATTTTTCTAATGCACATTGTTGACAGATGAATGAAGTGGAAAGGCCATACAATTTTGCTAACTTAAAAATCCTGAATGTAACAATGACAACAATTATTTGAAACAAAATTTATTTTTAAGGTGAGGCTAGTCTTCTGTTAGTTGTTATATCATCAGTGTTCATAAATGGGTTCCTGTTCACTCTAAAGAGTGTTACAAAGCTATAACTTTAATGTAATTGTATGTGTGAGAATTTAAGAATTCATGTCAGTTAAATTTGAACAGCCTTTATTATATTTGTTAATCATTTGGATAAAATTAACCTTTTGATATTTGAAAATTTAGTTATTGAAAAGTGTCTTCTATTTTTTTTTTTTTTTAAAAGGACATAGTTACCCTGTACTGAAAATTTAGCTTACAAGATTCAGATTGTTTTACAACTTTTAGTACAAGGAAATGGGTCTATTTAATTTATATTGAGTTAAATTTGAACAGCCTTTATTATATTTGTTAATCATTTGGATAAAATTAACCTTTTGATATTTGAAAATTTAGTTATTGAAAAGTGTCTTCTATTTTTTTTTTTTTTTTAAAAGGACATAGTTACCCTGTACTGAAAATTTAGCTTACAAGATTCAGAGTGTTTTACAACTTTTAGTACAAGGAAATGGGTCTATTTAATTTATATTGAAAGCAGGTTTAAGTTAAACATGTAATATTTCAAAGTTGTGTGATATAAGAATGATTTTAAAAATGAAATAAAATTATACAATATCTGTCTTCATCTATAGAAGTTACAGGAACACATGTTTACATGGATTTTTTTATTTATATAATGATCTATCAGTCTAATATAAAGTTCCATTGAGACCAATGTTTTGTCTTGTTTTTTTTTTTTAAATAAAAATATGAGATTTGAAATTTAAAATAAAATTAGTTTAATAATCATTTAACTTAAGATTTGTTGAAATGCTCATTCTGTATTTGTGACAGCAAACATAAAAATAAACCAGCTCTTTAATCTCCATGAATTATAATTGATATCTTGTATGAATCTTAACAATGTTTACCATAATCATCTATGCTTAAAAATAAATGCATTCACCACACAAAAAAAAATCTTAATTATTGTACATTCAATTAAAATTAATCTTTCTTATTTATTAAGACTTAAAGTTAAAGATAAACTTGGCCTTTTTTTTTATCTTGCAACATTAACCAGAAATGAATTTTAATTCAATAGATCAATAAGAAGAGTTTAGGCTTTGTCATTTGGAATATCATAGGTCCTGAAATTTGTCCAATGACTTGTAACTTTAATTAGAATGTTAAGTAAACCTTGTGGAGCTGACAATCAATTGGGAGAAAATTGATAAAAATACTAAGATACCGATAATAATAATTTTAGGCACAGCAACAAAATGCAGCTGAGGCATTGTGCTCCCTGACATTGGGTTGTGCTCTTCTGTGTGTGTGCGCGCGTCATAAGTCACTTGGAAACAAAGTTAATATAGATCCCTTTGGCCGTTATCAAGTGTCTGTTCAGAGTCCCAGACTGAGGGAATGAATTAAATGCAAATGAAAAACTAAACATTTATAGACATCATACTATTTTGAGAAACTAATAACTGCAGCAATTCAAATGAAACAAATTAAAATAATAATGTCTAAATTTGAGAGCAACGTTTGACTGCAGTATCGAACTTAATTGCTAATTTGAGATATATTATATATATTCTCCAATGAGTACCGGCACAATATGAGGCCCTTTTTCTATGTATCCCGGTATATAAAAAAAAAGAAGTATAACAACTAAACTCAACCCAGACTGCTCAGGCTGCTCCCGAAAACGTTGCGGGAAATACCAAAAGGTTGTAGCGTAATATGACAGACCGTTTTAATTATACCCTGTTACGAATTTTAAACCAGCTTTACGAGACAATGCTCCGCGCTGCACCAGAACATGCACACTCAAAGCAGTGAATCATTTTGCACCGGCGGTGAACGTATTTAGATATGAGATAAAATCTCTACGTAGGCCTGCACTCATTATTGTTGCCTTCGGGTGCTTATAAATAGTTATAAAAAAACTGATATCATATAATGACCATGTGGCAAGTTTGACCAACTCTGCAGCTACAGTCAAAAGTTGTCCCCTCCCCCCGGGCAACATTTAGATTTAGACGCCCTCTTCTCCCAAAAAGTATATATTAACAGTTGCGCCACTGGGGGGGGGCGGAAAGCACCGAGTGACACCCTCACGGGTGGGGTGGGGGGAGGGCAAGATTAGGGGATGGGGCAGTGGGCATTTTTGCAACGGTTGGGGGTATGGTGTTGCTATTCTAATAGCTCCTAGCTGATGCCAGGGCAGCCTTGAAGCTTTCGACTGACGTCGAGTTCACAGTTGCATCGTTCAGGTTGTTCCATGCTATTATTGTGCGTGGGAAGAAAGATTGTTGATACTGCACTGAGGCACTTTGAAGCATTTGCTATTGTTTCTGTTGTAATTGTAATTTGAGGGGGCCCGAGCGTTGACGTAGTATATTTATAATATACCTAAGCCTACTAATAGTTCCTAATCCAGTCAACACAATATTCGGAGTTATTAGATGGTCAAATGGTATGAAGATCAGTCTGGCTCCCATACTATCCCTTGGTCAGTCTGGCTCCCATACTATCCCTTGGTCAGTCTGGCTCCCATGCTATCCCTTGGTCAGTCTGGCTCCCATGCTATCCCTTCGAGATGAATCTCGGGAAGACCTCTGGCCGCATGTTAAGCAGACGAAAGGGGATTATCAGGGAATTTGATACTATATATAGACCCGTTAACCTTTTGTTCAGCCTTCATCACACGATAAGAATAAGAAGACGAATTATATTTACTGTTGTTTCGTAGATGTTGAAGCAAGGCCCCAGTACGACTACAACGTGTCTTAATATCCTATCGGCGTCAACGGCCCCGCAAAATTCAATTTGCCCAAGGCTCCGCACCATCCTAGCTCCGGCCCTGAAAATATGCCAGTTTTGTCAAAAGTGGCCTCAACCAACCCCAAATAAATACAAGAAATGAGTGTCACCAGAGCAGGTTACTACCATTGCACCTGTAGCAGGATGCCTTAGAGTGGGTTTCAAACAGAAAAGGGTGTCAATTGACCGTGATTCCACCAGAGTATAGTGCCATCAGAAGGTTTTACATATTTTTATTTCGGCATTAACTGCGCTGAAATGTGTTATCGGTATTATAATCCATCATAGAATCTGCAAGTTTAACCGTTAAAAGAATACCTGCCACAGGTTGGGAAAATAGAACAAGCATTCGTAATTTACAAAGCATTTATTTTCATTGCTGACGACCGGACAAACATGGAACTCGGTCACGTGCAGCCAGGGTTTCTTTCAGCTATATCTCGGGGGGGAGGGGGGGGGGGACACTGCCTCCCGGGGAAAGCCAAGTGCCCCCCCCCCCCCGGACCAAAAA